TCAAGGCTAGGCTGGACATGGTTTGGAGCAACCTAGTCTACTGGAAGGTGGCCCTACCCATGGTAGAGGGTGGATGAGTTTTAAGGTCCATTCCAACTCAAACCATTCTGTAAGTCTATGAATCTGGTACTGTATTGTGATGAATCTGGTGTGTTGAGTGTAAGAGGCAGATGTGGAACATGTTCCATGCAGATAATATACTATAGTAAGAGTCTCCCACTGTCTCTGATGTGCCAGGTACCCAGAATTACTTAGATGAAATAAATGTGCTACATTACTCTCTTCTCCTTCATTACTGCATTTTTTTTTTTTTAGTATGGGTTAGTATTTTCCCTTCTATAGAAACCTGCTGATAAGAATTCAGTGTGACAATTGAAATAGATTTTCCATTGTCTCATGATTATTTTTCCCTTAATTTTTATAATATTAAACATTTATTTAGTTAAATAGCCTGAATTTCATATGTCATGAACAATTAAGCATATGAAAAATTTTAATTGCTAATGTAAACTGTTTCCCTTTACATAGGATGTAGTGAAATTATTCCTTTCATACACATGAGCTCTGTCCCACAAGAACTCTGCTGTTCTCACAGTACCACTATGATCCAGAAAGATGGGGAAGCTTGCTGTAAAAGTAATGAAAGCAGGATCCTGACCCATGCTCTAATTGTCCTTTCTTCATGGATCCAGCCAGTGAACAGGAACAGTGTGAACACCGGAAAACTTAATTCTGCTGACAAATTTTCAAGCTTGATGTCCAAAAGACATGGTATTTACCAAGTTGACCATTTTATGGATGACTGCTCCACTGAAGAAAAAAAAAATACAAACTTTCAAATAAAAGCACAAAACTGTCTTAAAAAGCCACACTATAATTCATGCAAAAAATGCTCAGAAAGAAAACCCAGTAAATGTATTCAATGATAAAGAGCTCTTTTAGATTGTGATCAGATTATTAAGTAGTCTGCATTATCCATGGTTTAAAGACTTAAGTCATGCTCCCATTTAAAATCAAGTGATCTCAAATTGTTTTCAGACTTGCATTCATGAAAGTCAATTTTGACATATAAGAATAAAGCATTTCCTTATCTTTATGATGAACTTTCAGATATTCTGTAGGGAGTTTGCATGCAAAAATAGTTCCTACTAGAAATATTCAAGCAAATGTCTCTCCCTAATGAATATTCTAGCAGGTCATTCAGTGAAGCATGCGGGGTTGACATGTTGTTTTCTAAATGATTCTTCTGCAGGGTGGGAATTCTTATTTCAGAACTCACTACATTTTAGCAGTGACAAAAAGATCCATTAATCCTTGTGGTGAGCTGGATTGTGAGCTGCCATTTTCCTTGGAAATGGCTCTGTTTATAAAAATATTTGAGTTAATTATTGTCAATTCCAGATGAACAAAATCATTATACAACATTATTGTTATTCTACATTAGGACAAACCTCACAGCTTTACAGTCATTCCTGTTGTTCAAAAAATGAAATATAATTACACAAGAGTTAATGTGAACCTGATCTCTGTTTCTGTGTCATCAGCAGATTATGAAACTGAACCTTCAGCAAAACAACTTTGACCTCTGTATCTCTGTCTTTACCCCTAACTGGAACATCAATAAATCACACTTACTTTATTTCATGATCCATTACTTGAACTCTCAAAACTTCTTGAATAATTCTTATATTAACTGTTTACCTTGGCACCCCAAGAAACTCTCTAACCTCAAATTCTTAGGGTAAATGATGTCTCAGGCCAAAAAATACATAAAAAGTAAATCCCCATGTGATAAATATGTAAGAAGACTAAATTTAAGCAAATATGTAACCTGAAGATTAAACTCATCTTACCAGGATCAGGATAACATTTATTAAGAAGAACCTGACATATTTTCCCCATGTTTACATGCCACCTAGAAATACTCCTTCTGAGCAGTAAAATATAAAATCAGCTATCAGCAAGGCTTTGCCTAACACAAATTATCTGAAGCTGGGTTAAGTTTTCTTTATTTGTTCCATTTATCAGAAGGCAGGTGAATATTTTCACTCTGAAGGAGACCCGAAAACCACAGCAGTCACCAAGGCACAAATTGTCCAAAATGGTTAACATTTTCAGAATTAAGTGCATATGAGATGCACAAATGTGTATTTTCAGAGGTTATGCTCTCTAACTCTAAATTAGTGTCCTCTGTCCCCATGAATAAACCTAGGAATTGAAATCTGTAATAGTATGGTTGAATGGTCTTTTCCATTGAATGTTTTGGGAATGACGGGATTTAAAGTTGTCATCTGTGGAATTCCAATTACAGAATTCAATTCCCAATGGTGGTCTAATGAAACACAAACCAACACAACTCATCTACTATGAGAACAGGTAGTTGGCAGTTTTATAAGGGACTAACTTGATCCATCAGGGATTGATTAATATAATAGGATTTGCTTTTGAATAGGTCCCCAAATTCAATAGTATGTAAGTAACAATTCCAAAATAATACTGTTTTTCAAAAGAGAATCTTTGAAGAAAACACAGCAATATGTGAGGTTAAAGCACATGTTAACAACTCCATTTTGCAATCATTCATAGATAGACAAAATAAATTCTACACTTATGTAAGGGGAAAAAAATTATCTGTACCATGAATAAACAAATAAGCTTAGGCTGTACTTATAAATCAGTGCTCCTCATCACTGTAGAACTTAGAGGATCAGGAATGGTTTGGGTAGGAAGGGACCTTAAAGCTCATCTTTTTCCAAGACTCTGCCATTAGGTACAGTGTCACTGGGAATGTAGGACACAATACACTCACAGTATTTCTCACAGTCACCTAAGGAAGTCCATCATATTACATATTGTTTGACAGAATCTCAGAAAGTACACTAGCATTTTAGTCATGGGTCAAGAGTGAACCATTTTATGGTTGCCTACTATGGAAAGTGGTGCGGCATTTGTGTGACATATTTTAAGGAAAACAGTGCTTTCCTTTTCAGTACTTTGGAGCTCTTCATGCTGAGTTCAGTCATAGATATCTCAAGTGATTGCACCCTTACACTACACTTAGCAGGGAGCAAGAGTCATGAACTATTTCAGTGCAGAGCAAGACAATGAATGTGTGCTCAACCACCAAATATTTGTGCTCTTTTTCACTTTGTAAAATGTAAAATGCATTCCTTGCAACACAGAAGGACAATCTTGGAATTCATCTCACAAATTCTTAATCCTTCTGAAGTGAAAAATGTAATTTATGTGCACAGGGAGAAGACATCAAAAATGAAAAATTGATCATGATAGACCACTTTCAAATTTCCTAATGTAGTCTTTCTCCAGACTCTGCTACGTACTTCTCATCAGCCTAAGGCAAAAATAAAATACAGTCTTTATAAAGGTGATGAAAGACACTAGCAAGTGGGAATAGAAATGAAGCAAAGTAGTGCATGACATTCCAAATGTGTTTTGTTGAAGTCTTCTCCCATCTGAGAAGAAATAGCAAGACTAACAAAATTGAGCTATGAGGGTTTCTTGCCATTAAAACACTCTATAACCATTCGGTTTATAAAATGTGGGGGGTTAATCCTCCTGTTTTGTGTACGCTACACAGTTTACCATTAATCCATGGGGGAAAGTGCAGCTGAGAGGAACTATTGCTGATGGAAGGATCTACACCTGGGCAGAGGGCTGAAATCACCAAAGAGTGAAAATAGTGTAACACAAGATGCGTTCATCCTGTTCAAATTCCTTCCCCTCAGGAAGCACAAGGCATCAGGTTTCCACATTCATTCCTTTTGCTTAGGAGAAACAACTTCTTGTTCTTCTTTCTTCTGTACACAAAGCAGCATTATCAAGGGAAACTGCTCACTTGTGACAGTAATGAAACAGAAATGCTACGTGAGCTTTGTGTGTGGAAACTCTTACTACTGAATCTCTTCTAATTTCAGTTATTAGAGCCTTAAACAGGAATGGTCAGGTATATTCGGATTGTATGTTCGGATTTTGCTTTTGCCTTGAGGGAAAAAGATATAAAAAATATATTCTTTTGGCTTCGACAGGATAAAATAAAAAAATATTTTCTGGTTTCAGGAAGCCTATTACTCCCTCATTTGTTCATTTCCATTAGGAGACTAGTGATGCTAATTTAGGTAGGGATTGAACTTCTCTTTCATTTAATGTCAAAGCCCAGATTCTTGTTCAATGTTTATTCTCTGACTCTATCAGATGACTGAAGGTTGAAGACTTAACTGCAGGACCAAGTATCTAATGAACAGTTTCAATGCCTGACACTCAGAAATGAAGCCTTGATAGATTTTGGTTCTTATTTTTCTCAGGAAGAGGTTTTCTAGGAGAAGTGAAAAGCATCAAAATTGTGAGAAAAGTTGCACTTCTTGTAATACAAGATCATCAATTTAGGCTTGGATGTACTCTTAAAATCTTAAAAAATGCAGAATAAAGGTCAGCAGTCCACTGTAAATTATTTGAATTATGGGGAATATTACTACAGCAAAATAGTAGAGAGAAGGTTCTTGCCCAGAAGTAGGACACAGGGATTGTGGGGATGATTATGATCAGACTTAGTGCTAATATTGTATCTAAATATTGCTAATGCAGTATCTAAGTAACAACTCTGTTGTCTATTATAGTGGATTAGCATACTACGTCATAGTCCCTCCTGTTGTGTCAGTGCTTTGGTAGGACCCTTTTGCTTTCTAAACTCAGAGGAGTCTTGGTGAGCCTGGTCCACGTAGTGTCAGACTGAGTTGTACATTCAGCACTTGTGGCTGGGAGTGTGCAGCTTTACAGTCTTTGTCCTGCCCAGCTCTCTGCCCTGTCCCTGAGCCCGTGCCCTGAGGCAGGTGCTGCTGTGTCCCCGGCTGCTGGCCGTGTGGCCGGGTCACAGCCGCCACCCTGCTCAGGATGGCCCGGGAGCCGCGCCGCAGTGAGTTCTGCGACCGGCTGGGACAGCAGCGTGTGGAGAGGGTGGTGACAGAACTGTCACACAGCTTCTCACAGTGACAAATCAATCACTGCAAATGAAAACAGTGCATGTGCCACAGCTTTAAAAAAGTGTGTTTTCACATCATGAATAGCTGTAAAGTTGTGGACAGCATAGCTGCAGGCTAGATTTTTTTTGTAAATAACTACAGATTATAAAGAATTGTGAAAAGTGTTAAAAAAAAATAAATTCAAGAGCTTAATTTTATTGGTGTCTATTAAGTGTGATAATTGCACATGTACCAGAGCATTCCCTTCTAAATCAGGATACAGGGCCCACTGAAAATGCAGAGGCTCTTGCATATGGAACATGTGCAACCCTACGTTTAGTGTCAGGAACTATGATGTAAAAGTATTGGGCTAAGTGGGAAAAAGCTTTTCCTTCCACCATAGCTATAATTCCATGATTTCCCCCTTTCTAATGCAGAGTAAAACAAAGGAGAACTCACACAGTTCAGGAAGCAAAAGGAAAAAGTCCACAGTTGAGCTGTTGGGATTTCCAAAACAGTGGAAATGTTTGTGTAGCTCCAATTCACTGGGAAATGACCAGAGGAAAGAATGGTGAACATTCCAGTGGAGGAAAGTAGGATTATAAGGGCTATTGGGAAGTAATTGTTCCCTGGGAGGGGGAGGAGGCTGTGGCACATATTGCCCAGAGAAGCTGTGGCTGTCCCTGGATCCCTGGAAGTGTCCAAGGCCAGGTTGGAGGGGCAATGAGAGCTTATAACATGTAAAGTGCTAAAGCACACTACAAGGTTTACATTTTAAACTCTTGATGAAATACAAAGGAAATACTAAACCTATCACAGTGTCATGGGATGACTTTACCGTTCAGATAGATTTGAGAGCTAAAGAAGTTAAAGCTGCTGGTGGCTGATGGGAGTTTTTTCTCCTGACCAATTATCGGTCATTTCTAAGAATTGACAGCAGTTTTGACCATTGAAAAGTGAGATCAACTTGTGAACACCACCTTAAAATGTAAAGCCAAAGTTCACTTGTTCTCTTTGGTTTCTGGCTTCTGAAAAAGTAACAAGGCTTTGTCTCGGCCTCCTCCCTCTGCTCCAGGCCGGACAAGGCCGCAGAGTGAGGGGTGGGGTGGGGAGAGAAACGGAGCCGGCCTGGCCTGGCTTGGTTTGTAGTTTCTGCTGCTGGACTGAAACCTGACACCATGAACATCTGCAGCTTTTCCAAGACTTTAATTCTTTTACTACCTGGATAAAATGTACAGATTACTCCTTTTTCCCAGAGAGACAGAGAGAGAGAGAGACAATCAACGTGAAGAAGACAGTGAAGAAAAGAGTTAAGTTTTAGATGGGGAAGAGACAATAAGGAGATGCTTTATAAGCTGAAATATTTTTCTGTTAGAGCTATAGAGATAGACAAGAGTGTTCTAAAAAAAACTCCTTTAATTCATGACAGAGTATATTAGGAAGAATGGAGTGTTCAAAGTGTGGATTTTGAGCAAAATGTAGAGTAACTGTGATACAGTGAGGTGCTGGAACAGAGTGAAGCGAAGATTTGAGGCCTTGAGGGCAATGAGAAAACTGTTTCCAGAGAAGCTCACAGAGACAGATGAAGAAGACTTTTGCCTTTGAATAACTCATCCTTAAAAAATGACATCCCTAGACTCATGGCCCATACACATCTCAGAGTGATGTGAAATGGGAGGAGTAAACTGATGACAGAATTTCCAGGCAGCTGGCATCAGAGAAATAGAAAACTGTAACAGAAATAGTTTTCTTGTGAGAAACTCCATAGATTAGCGGAAGAAGACTTCTGTTTCTCTACAAAGACTGATGAAAAGACTCTAGCAGGAATTGGGACTGTTTTAAAAACCAAAGTTCCAAAGTTTTTTGTCTCTATGTTGTCATGTGAGCAAAGGAATGGTGGGTAGTGGGGGATAAAAGAGTTTTCTGGAAGTTTATTCTGGTGTTCTTATTCTTGCAGTTTTGTTAATAAACTTTCTTTATTCCTTGTAAGTTTTAAGCCTGTTTTGCTCTTGTTCTAATCCATATCTCACAGCAAAAATAAATAAGTAATTTTTTGGTTACTGCTTTTAAAACCAAGACATTTATTTGGTGCGTTGGCCGAGAAAATGAAATTGACAAATCTAAACCACTACACACAGTTAAGGCATAGTTAACTTTAAAAGAAGTATTTAAAATAAACATTTTCTCTTTGGAAGTCAAACCAGAGGATGCTAATTGTCAGAAATGGCTAACTGCATCATATGTCTGATGACCCTAGCAAGTGTTTATGAACTAGGCACCTTCAGGCTGGGGAAGAGAAGAAAAAACATTCTCACTAGTGGAAAAGAAGGCAAATATATGACAAGCAAAACCAAAATGGTTAAATATCACAAGATGAAAACACTTCTACAGATTTGAAAGCTATAATTGTATCTCTCACTTTTCAAAGCTTTTATAGAAAAACATTGTCATGCTTGGCTCTCCACCTTCTGCTGTACAGAAAGTATCTATTAAAATGCTTTGTGCTATGATCCTCATTCTACTTTATTCCTGTCTTGTCCTGACTCCTTCAGCAAGTTGAAAGAGCCTTGGATACTTTCTTAGAGACCTCTTTCCTTGAGAAATATCTAATAGGTATTTCTTAATATGTTGGAATTGATAAGAAAGATAAACTGGAGGTCACAAAGGCACATCACTCATCTAAAACAGTTTTTAAGAATCTTTTGAATTACCTTGTCCTGACAAACTTGTGAGGCTTGCAACAGAACATTTCCATCCTTTCATTTCTTGGTGTTCCTTACTGTAGCAGGATAATAGTTTCCTTTTCATCATCCACTCTTGGCCTCAAATTCCATTAACAATAAACTGTCACACACATTTGGACCCTGCATACAGAGACACCGGCTTTGATTCATTCCTCTCCACTCATACAAAGTCAATTTAAAACATTGTTTGCACACAATTGTCCTCATTTATTGGTTCAGTCCTGGAAGAAGGGAAAGGGGCAGTAGGCTACATAATGTAAATCTGGCCCAACTTTTATCAAAGTACAATTTGTTCCCACTCCTACATAGATTTATTACACCTCTGTAACAGGACAGCTAGTGAGCAAACATGCAAAATTATGTTGGCTGAAGATGTAAAAAATGCTCATCAGTACGGATTACAGGCAGAATTTCTATCTATATCACAAGAAACAGACTTTGGATGCATACTTACATGTCCCACTTCAATAAAAGCCTGTAAAATTCTGGAGCCTCACAGTTTGCATGACACCAATGAGTATTTTATGTCATGTGGAGGAAATACCTGCTTCTGATAGTGCTTTCTTACTTATACCTCAGTGTACCTGTATCTTGAACAGGTAGACATGCAACTTCATGAAACATACTTTGAGTTTACTAATTCTGTTAAAAAATAAACAGCATATAGAAATGAGAGAAATCTGTCAGTGAAGAAAAAGCAAATGACCATTCCTTAAAAGTTCAGTTTAATTTCCTACATAAGGAAGACTTAGGAGTTTTGAAGAAGAGGAAGAAGTAATATTAAAAAAAGGAAAAAATGCTTTAAAACTGAAGTTAATGACCAGCTAATGTAAAGAAATAATAAAAGTAAGTAAGAAAAACAAAAGCATAGGTTTTGAAACAGGAAATCAGAAATAGATACCATCAAATTGATTTGCAGACTATGGAGCAGTGAAATACAAAATCTAAAACCAATCTTGCATACAGTCAGTGCTTCCTGCTCTTACTTTTACATGCTCATAATTTTCTTAAATTTTTAGTAGAAATCAGGGAAGTATCACCTTCTGCATTCAATGTCATGGGCAGTTTGAATCTCAGTGCAGTAGTTGTAGGGATATATAGTAGATATAGTATATATATATATATATATATAGTAGTTATAGGGATAACTTCTGCTATAGAATGCATTTGATGATGCATATTCAACTATTTTAACATGGAATATAATCAGTCACCAGTGTTCTACGTGGTGTTGATATTTATGCCCATGCAAATGATTTCCATGATATATCTTTATGCCTCCCATTTAATGGAACAGTTTAAAAGAAATGAATGAATAATCATGGAAATACAATCTGTTCAAGATTTAATTTTTTTTAA